AATATTTGAAAGTGTCACTTTTAGAATGTTAGGCTAATTCTAAAGACCTTAAAGGTGTTCCTTTGATTTTGGTCATGGGTTTAAGAGTCATATGTTTTACAAGTATGGAATAAGATGTGGTGGACTCTGAGGCAAATCAAAATCAGTTAGCTATGGCTATTCCTTTTGGAATCTTGACGTTTTTGGGACATTAAGCTCATAATTAACGATTTCACTAAAATTTTTGCCCTTTGCCTTTTGGATCAGATTGTACTTGTCATCAGGTAATGAGAGGCTGTCAATCTAGGGATTAATTTTGCCGACTTGGCGTGAGTTGACTATTATATATTCTTGCAAAGCATTCATGAAAGTGATAGATGTTCAAGAAATTTTGCTTGATTTGGAGTTTTTGATATTGGTTCATCAATCTTTGAGAAATGTGCATATTGCCCTTCACTTTAATGATCAATTAGTTTCTTTATAGGCCTTGATTTTGGAATAAGCAAAAGATTTGGAGGTTGGGAAGTATTACTTTGGGATTTATGTGCCTATGAATCATAACATGGTATTGTTGATGTCTTCTGGCATGAGGTTACATTCAGGAGATATGATAGGTTATTTTCTTTTCTTGGATATAGATGCCGATTTCACGTGATGTGACCAAACAAGACTTTTATGGGAGTTTGGTCCTTGTTTGAGGTTTTACTCTTTTATTGTGGTTTATTTAGTCTATTGGGAAAATGTTATTTCGATATGCTTATGATAGTCTAATTCAAGAATGTTTTGAGACCTGTCATTAAAGAAAATGTGGTAACCGTTTGGAACACTCCTCTTGTTGATGTAGTGGTAAGATGGTCAAGGGAAGTCAAAATCAATGACAGGGACAAGGATCCCATAGTAGCGGAAAAAAAACAGCAGGGTTTTCTTGTTCAAAAGTTGATTTATTTCTCTCTTAATGTCTTAATTTGAATTTCTTCTTATTTTTCCTTATTCGAATCTCTGTCGTAGTTTATGGTATTATGGTTTATCATGTGCGTGTTGACTCTACATGTTGACCAATTGATAAATTCTGGAAATTTAGAGAGTACTGATACGAGAGTCAATATTTGATGTCTAGGGCTTAATGACATCGATGATCTTTTATTTAGTTGAGATCTCAAAAATGCTAGGTTTATATAATATGGTTTGGAGACATGAACTGGAGGTTAGAAGTATGTTTACCCTACCTTCTACATGTTTTAGAGATTTGGATTGCCAAGGTAACATGTAGAACAAATCTATTGATTTTGGGTTTAGTTTCTAACTCAAAAATAAGTATAATGTATGTAGTTAAACCCTTTTAGTTTTGGTGTAATTTTGTCTTAGATTTAATAAAGTTTCTAGCTATTTGGATTTTGAAACTTAGATGTGATTTGAATATGTTTTGGTGTTAAAACTAGAAGACTTAATTCTCTTTGATGACAATGCCATCCTTTAGATAGTTGGTTAATTGAAACCTTTTGTTTTAGTCTTAAATTAGTGGGTTTTTGAGACATGGTATGAGTAAATACCTTTCCCTCTTCTATTTATCATGTAAGACGTGTCTAGAGAGGTATACCAAGAATTTTGAGATGAATGCCTTGGGTTATATGCTTATTAGTACGTTCCAAGGATTTTGTAAGTGGCTGTCCAAGAAGAATGGAAAATAGTATTTCCTTGTTAAGTTTCTGATCTTGCAAATCATATAACCTCAAAATAGACACTATAAGCTTCGATTTAATACAAGAATTGCCTTAAATGGAGACCCGTAGCTCAAGTTACAACTTTCTGAATTTAGGCTTAAAAGCTGGTTGTCTGCAGTATCATGTTTTTGGAGACCTTAACGGACCCGAAACTGAGCTTGTGATAGCTCTTTGTAAAGCCCTAGATGTTTACTATGAATAGGAACTGATTTTGTAATTTTCAAGACTATATAGAATATTTTATGATTATTCCCGCAACAGTCACTAACTGATTTTTGTAGGAATCTGTAAAACAAGAACTAAGACCCCCACTTTTTGATATAGGGTTGCTGCACCTAAACCGTCATTACTACCCCTCAGGACATGTTATTAGTGGCATGTGCCATTTGGAATCACCTCATTTAGAGTTTTGTAGCCCAAGTTGTGCACATTTGTGGCATGTGCCATTTGGAATCACCTCATTTAGAGTTTTGTAAGCCCAAGTTGTGCACATTTGAAGTTCATGAAAAACCTTTTCAAATGCTGTCAAATTCTTAGAATCCAGAATTTTAATTTCTTACTGATTGTGTTTGAGGGGTTTACAGAGCTCAAATTAAGGCGTATGATAGCTCGATAGAAAGCTCTATATGTCTACTTTCTTTTAGAGTTGATTTTGTAATTTTTTGAGAGACAATATTTTATGAATTTTCTCAATCATGTCAACGAATCTGTCCAATTACTGTTTCTATATAGGAAATGGTTCCGAGTTAGAGATCGTTCTATGGTCGAATGATTAACAGTTTAGAACCTTTAAGAGTCAATAATGTTAAATTATGATATTCTTAATAACTCATGCGAATGTGTTTTAAAGAGAATAGTTTGACACACACATAACGATAGCTCTTGAAGACTTAGAAGATTTTATTATTAATTGACATCTTTATGTTATTGGTTGTGTATTTATGAGTGTTGTGCAATTCATTGAACTTAGCACGTTCATTTCTCAAGACTTGGATTTATTTAGCATGGGGTTGCATTTGTCTTCTTTTTCGAGCATATTTTATATATGACCTCTTGGATCAAACTTGGTTTTTCATCGGGACGAAGATTTTGAAAAAGGATTTTGATTTATATATATATATATATACACACACACACACACACACATACATGTAGACACCATAATAATAATTATCCTTTCCAAAACCCATAACTATGAACTTTACTACTTATAGGAAACTTGGTACCTCTGATAAAGATACTAGGGAGTTAGAATCTGAGATGGATGATAAGTACCCTCAGTCGTTTAATCTCCAGCTTGAGGTTATAGTGTGAAATTTCGAGGACGAAATTTTTTTAAGGACCATGAATTTATTGGAAATAAAACTTATTTTGGGCCAAAGCGTGATTTTAGAAACTTAAATGAAACTTTTTACTAAGTTGTGGTCATGTTTGAAATTTTCAAGAATAAGGGGCTAAAATGGAAGTCTAGAAATTTCCCCACTCAAAAATTTTCCCCACGTGTGAAAATATCAGCCCATTCTCTCTCCTCTTTCCCTCTCTCTCCATATCTCTTTCACGCAAAAACACTCCACTCCCGCTGCCCTCCTCTTTGCCAGACCATCGCTGATCGCCGTTTGCCGGCGCACGCCAGCGGATCAGGAGCACAGCCGCCCAAAACCGCCTGAGCCAAAGCGCCGCCGCCATACTCGCCACCGGCAGCTCGAAAATGCGGAGAAAAGTTAAAGCGTTGCTCACTTTCGCGGTCGATTCCGCCGCCGTCCGGCCACTTATTACCGGCGAGTTGCACCATTGCGTTGCTCTTTCCGAGGAGAATAAAGCCCACCCAACCCCAAGTTTGATTGTCGCCCGAAACTTCCCATTCCGCCGCCACGTTCTTCATCGATTTTTGACTTTTCCCTGCGAACAAGATGTCATTTGGAGAAGCCGTCATCGGAAACGAGTTCCTCTCGTCGAGGCCTTCGAAGTGATGTTCACCTTCGCAGTCACCTGCCCACGGGATGCTGGTCAACAGGCGTTGACCGTCGAGTTTGACCGGTCAACGGCAGACCCCGACGGCCTGAGTTTGTGAAGCTCCTTTCCAATCTAATTTCGGCGTTCCGGTCGCGTTTCTAGCATTCAAATAACGTGCCGAGGCATCAAAGCTTGAGTTTGGAGATCAAAGTTTCGACAATCTCGTTTTGGTAGGAATTCGACTACTCAAATCCTTTTAAAGTTTTCAATTGAATAATTTTGTTATTTATAAATTGATGGATTATGTGTTTATCTCGTATTGAGAAATTAAGTTTACTCTTATGATTATTATGGTTGATTACTGTGATGAAGATTGATGATTCGAATTGAATTTTTACTTTGAATTCATATAAAAATGCTCTGGGTGGCGCGTTTTGCAGCAAGGGCGCGCCGAAAATATTTCTGAAATTGTTTCTTGCAGGTTATTAATTTTTGGTTTATTAAAAAATGATGCTGTTATGCTGTTGAAATTTTGTTAGGAACTAGTTATAGTTGACTGACTGAGTCAGAGGTCCTTGAGAGTGATTTGGTTTGTCCTTAAATTCAGAAACTCTATGTAACCTTATGCGGTGCCGTCGGACAGATTTATGGCCATTTGTTAAATTATTCGAGGACTATTATCAAATCACGGGGTGCTCATTTGTGCCCAACGGACATTTATTACCATAGTGGTACTACTATAAATACATGGACACTCAACGGGATGCTCACTACTATAAATACATGGACACTCAACGGGATGCTCATCTGTTGGGCACAACGGCATTGTCTATCATACTAGTACCACTATCTATACCTTATCGTCGAGGACTACCTAACGGGTACCAAAACTGGTACGCGACTCTTTCACGGGGTGCTCATTTAGGGCACAACAGACTCTTTTTTCCCATTTCGTTTCTCCTCCATTACTAACGAATAGGAGCGTTACTGACATTTTAAAGTGTTGGGTGTTTGATGATTTAACTGATCAGTTAGAGATTTTCTCTTGGTGGGTTTTTATATTATTTTGAGAACTAGAATGTTATCATTTGTGATATTTTAGTCTTAGTAAGTTTTTATGTTATTTTAAAAAATGAGATTTTTATCAGTTGTTATAGATTCTCTTTTTATATTTATTGCCTTATTTTCTTTTCTTTTTTTATTAATATTATTATTGTTGTCATTGAACTTTTGGAAATCAATTGTTAATAGAATATTTTAATTATTTTAATGTTCCTCTGTTTATTTTTATTTTGTTGATTTTAAACTGAGTAGTTAGTATCCCGTTCCTTCTGGTGATGTATAGATCGTCATAGTAGCTAGATTACAAGAAGCTCTGCAGCTGTCCCTTAGTAATACCCTCCAGCGAGGCTATGTATTTCCTGTTATGTATAATAGTTATTTGAATATGTATACTGATTAAAATTCCTAGTCAAAAACTTTGAATCTGTTTTGAGGGATGCTAAATATTGTTGGATGCAAATGAGTGATGCATGGTGAACGCCCCTTTTAGATATTTTGTCTTATATCTATGTTTGACAGGTGGATACATTATTGTGATTATGGGTTGAATGGAAATTAGAGGATTTGTTTCAAAGTATTATATTTACGCAGGGAATCAATATTCTGAAAAACTTGACAAATTTGCCAGACCCTAGTTTTAGGGCATGACAGAAGACATAGTTGACAGTTAGGTGAAATCAAACCTCTAAAATTTCTCATATATTTTTTCTCCTTCAATTGCGATTCTTGAGTTTATTTTTATTTTTATTTAATTATGCAATAAAATTTGATTTGATTGTCTAAATAAAGTTAGGATTATTCTAATTACAGTACTTAGTGAAAATTTGATTACAATCCCTATGGAGACGACAACCCTTCTCATCATTTACTACTAAAACTTGACACCGTGTGCTTGGGGTAGATTTTTGCGAACAAATTTTTTGCGCCATTGCCGGGATTGTCTAATCTTATTTTTGCTAATATTGTTACCAAGTAATCTTGATTTTAATTTAGATTTATTTAAATTCTATTTATTTGTTTGTTGGTGTTTGGCAGTTAATGCGAAGATTGAGAAGTCTTGAATTGTTCCCTTTTGATCTTGAAATTGAAAGAACACTTCCGGGGATAAGGGCAGCAAGGAGAAATGAAGTTCAAGCAATGGCGGCCAACAACCAAAACCAAAGGGCAATCTGAGATTATTTCAAGCCGGTTGTCAATGACAACTCTTCCGGGATCGCGCACCAAACAATCAACGCGAATAATTTTGAGATTAAGCCTGCACTAATCAACATGGTGCAACAAAACCAATTTGGGGGATCTCTACTTGAAGACCCAAACATTCACTTGACTATCTTTTTGGAGATCTGCGATACGGAGATCTGTGATACGGTGAAGATGAATGGTGTTACTGAGGACACCATTAGATTGCATTTGTTCCGTTTTTCTCTTAGGCACAAAGCTAGAGGATGGTTGCAATCCTTGCAACCTAGCAGCATTAATACTTGGGAGATGGCACAGAAATTTCTTACAAAATTCTTCTCGCTGTCTAAAACAGCCCAACTGAGAGTATATATCGGGCAATTTAAGCAGTTGGACTTTGAGCCATTATATGAGGCTTGGGAGAGATACAAAGACTTGATTTGGCGTTGCCCTCAACATGGCCATGAAGATTGGACGCAAATCCAATTCTTCTATACTGGATTGAATGGTCAGACTAGGACCATTGTTGATGCTGCTTTTGGTGGTGCTTTGACATCCAAGACTACTGAGAGGCTTATTCTCTTTTAGAGGAGATGCTACCAATAGTTACCAATGGCCTAATGAGCATTCTTTGGCTAAGAAGGTTGCCGGTATTCATCAGATAGATCCTATAACTGTAACGATCCAGCTTCTTGAGCCGTCACTAATTATGACTTAAATGCAAAAAATGATATTAACTTTTTAAAACGTCTTAAAAGTGAAATATTAGTTACTAGGGGATTCTTTTGCATTTTTGAGTTAGGGTGACTTGAGTGATAATTTTGAGTTGAATTTGAGTTATAACTTGAGTTGTAGTTGTAACTTGAGTTTGTGTTTAGATGTGCATATTTGAGTTATGATTTGAATTGAGAATTTTTTTGAGTTTATGTTTGGGTGGGTCAAAATTTAAATTTGTATTTAGATAGTACTTTAATAATAACTCAATAGTGATGAAAAATTTTAATAGGGTATATAGGTGGGGTTTTATTTGTGTTTTCGTTGCGAATGCATAAAAAAAAATCATCTCAATCAGAATTAAAACAAAAAAGTTATGACATTTTTAAGAATATAAAAAATACTGTTTATTAATTTGAGTTCGAGTTTATGAACTTGAGTTAAAAGGGGAAACTTGAACTCGAGTTTAGTCCAAAACTCTAGTTCAAACTCGAGTTTAAATACGAGTTCAAACTCAAATTTTACAAAAGAACATGAACTTGAATAAAGTTGTAATTCGAGTTTAAACTTTTTCTGAGTTTTGTTACAAAAGAACAGCCCTTAAAATTTTGGGTAATTTTTTGTTTTTGAAACTTGTTCTGAATGCAGTATAAATCTTACCATTCTTTACATCATTGAAGGTTTCGAAAACAGTTTTAACAATTTTAGTATAGTCATTAGAATATAATTAGCCATACATGAAACTATTGTTACTATCGACTTTAGAGCCTACTTAACCGGTTTTATAAAAACCTCTTGCTCGTTTCATATAATTAAAACATTTTCCATCATTTCTTTAATCATCTTTAACTTTCGTGAAATTAACTCTGAGGGAAGTTCAAAATATGAATTCAAGTTAATGATTACAACTTCCTTTTTAATTATTCTCCTTAACCATAACTTTAAACCTCTTCAACTTTATGTGAAATTTAACTGCATGATAGTATCTATTGCCCGATCCCTTAATTGTACGCGTCCTTTGTTGCAAAGTCTATCAAAGAGTTGCAAGCTTCATACCTACAACATGAATAAACTTGATGAGCTAAAAAGCTCAGCGAGCACAAATATTTCTCATAAAAACATTTTACGCATTAAACATCATCAAGTAAAAATGCATGTCCATTTATGCTTTATTATGGATTATCCATTTTTCATTATTGGGCTCTGTGCACGTACTAAGGCCTCGTTCGCTTCACGGAATCGAGTTTTCAATTCGAGTTGAGATGTGACATTTTCTGAGAGCTTTTAACTGTAGCAGAAAAACTTAGATGTGACATTTTCTAAGAGCTTTTAACTGTAAAAACTTAAAACTGAAAACTCGAATCGGTAAAATGAACGAGGCCTAAGTGCACGTGACCATGAGGAGTGTGGGAGCGATCCAAATATTTAGTCCAATACACCTAAGGTCATCAATTAATTTTGTTAGTTATGATCCCCCATTAAAAGTTTGAGGATAATTACCCTCTCATTAGACTCTTGAGATCTGGTACGACACTTTACTTAGTCTCATTACCATAGCCTTTTATTTAACGGGTTTTAACAGTTCTAATGGGCTTTAGCAGGTTTTAACGGTTAGTGGGTTACCATTTTACCCTTAATAGGTTTTAATGGTTTCTAAAATTGTAAACCTATGACAGTTATCTCTCTAAGTGTTCTGTCCTTAAGGACCATGACCTAACACTAGGAGCTCGGTGTCCGTTTGACCCCCTTTACCCTTTTTCAGTCGAAACGTCCGTTTTGTGCTTAATGGTTTCCTAAGTGACTAAAGAGCTCAAGTTTTGACTTCCCTACCCCTTTTCCGCCGTATCAAGGGCCTGGACTCATACTTACAGGTTGAATCTTATATTTTATGGAAATTACGACTTTAACCCTAAAGTCAAGAAAATTGACATTTTTACCCTTGGCGTCAAAGTTAGTTGTTTTGTACCAGTAAGCTCATTTTAACCTGAGGATCAAAACCCTCAACTGGACCTAAGGCTAATTTGTACTAAAAGGGCCATTTTGCCCTCAGTCAAAGTTTAGTCAACACAACTTCTAAGTTGGATAAACTTTCTATTAGTTCAGAATTTAGGAAAACTCCGAACAACAATTTTTCTCTACTCATTTAGATCAACAATCTTGCTTCTTTAACCTAAGTCTAATTCGGCCTCTACCTAGGACCGCCTTTGTAAATTTTCTCGTTTTCAAGCCTTACGGTGTTTTCGTTACTTTTTATTTCTGAGCGTTCTTTAGATTTGGTCCAAACGTTCCAGACCTCAATAAATCATATATTATCAGTTCAAATCCCATACTTTCATGCCATAAAGACCAATTTTCATGGCAAGCCTTAGTTTTTATGCCATATTAGTTCAAAGTTTACATTTTAAATCAATGTCAAAGTCAACTAAGAACATGTTCATGTTGCTATATAACATAAATACTAAAGATCTGAATCATACCTTTAGAGATTTAGAAAATAATATGTCTGACAGATCAAAGCGTTCCAAACAGTAATTAGAAGAGCCTCAACCAACTGGTCTTCTTTGCTATTCTCGTTTCCACGATCAGAGTGCGGGTGGGCACACATCGTTCAATCTCCTCTTGATATTCTTGAACTCCTTCCAATCACAAGGGAGCCAAAGGAAAAATCATTCTTGAGAATTAAATAATTTTTCATCTCAGGAATCTTTTGCCAATAGTCCCCAAAAAGTCTCTCAAGTGTTCTAAAGAATAATGTGACTTAATGGACTATTTATAGTGTTTAGGAAGTCATATTTCCGTAACAATTAGGTTTCTCAAAGTTTATCTCGCTTACAGAGTCAGTTTCGTCACGTTAGCATGCGCTACACGTTACAACCGGTCGATCGGTGACAGAGATGTTATAACTCATTGGTCGACCTGTCCTTCATGAACCGGTCTACCGGACCGGTCGACCTATCTGAACTAGCGAAACTTGTTTTCCTAGTTTTCCAATACGGGAAACTTGCACAGAGCCTTAATTTTGATTCGAGCAACCCAATAGAGAAGTTGTCTGATCAAAATAGTTTATAATAATCTTCCCATAGTAAACAACTCTTAAAACAATAATTCAACCAATTTATCTAAAATTAATTTATCAATTAATTCACCTGATAAATCACTCATGAATTAATAATCTCATATTAACTGTGCACCTCTTTTACGAAAATAACACAAGTTACCAATATGTAGTAAATACACCGTATCGTTACAGGAAATTATGTGAGCTAGCAAAGGGGCCTGATGTACATATATAAATCAAGCTCCTATAATCACAATGCTACTTGTAAACTAACAAGTCCATCTCATGATTGTAAAACTCTAGCGCTACTCCACTAAAAGCCTAGAGCTGCACTCTTGATGTATATAGCATATTTACAAAGCTCTGAATAGCTCTCGTCCATGACTCAATATATTAGTGTATCATCCCCATAAGATATCCATAATCAACTTGAGGTCAAGTTCCGTTTTACCTTCCCGATTACATTTATTTTATGTTGCATTATCACACCATCAGAAAACTACTATTCATACCATTATAAATAGTAAATCATTAGATAACACAGAGTAGTCTAATGACTGAGCGCTCATATTTTTCAATCCACAGATAATGCATAAGATGATGTCATTGACTTTTTATAGGGGCTATGGATTCCACTATCTATGAATAATGAATCTACGCATACATGAGTCATACCCTCAATGTACCGGTAAGCGTACCTTTACATAATGTCAGGATGTCTCCCTTTGGTACATCAAAGGATACAAGTCAAGCATACGGGTTCATTATCCATCTCAGGATTAGGATGACAACATATAATTCGTCAAAAGAATTGTTTTATTCTAACGAAATTATTAATTAAAATAATTTAACTTTGGTCCGACCCAATATAGATTTTACCATTAGAAACTATATCAATGTCTCTATCCATGGAGTCTCACTCCCGACAACTAAGACAAGCCGTCTCCGTTAGGAAGTAGACAACATAACAATCTTAACATGAATAAAGCGCCCAATTTTATTCCCTCGATTGTGGATCATATGATTTAGACTATCATATTTAGATTTGTCTTTCGCATGTTCTTCACATTACATGTATGACCTAAAGATTTAGAATGATAGTCTCTGACTTTCTGTTTGCTTATCATACATTCAACTAATATGAACATAACGATGACAATTCATAGATATATGAAAAAAATAAATCTTTATTAATAGTCAATATGACTCAAAGAACATCGTTACATTTATTCCTAAGGGCATAAACGCTAACAATCTCCCACTTGCACTTAAGTGAGTAAATGTGATATGCTACGCATCGCCATTGTCTCGACATGCTTCTCGAAGGCCTTAGCTAGCAGGGTCTTCGTGAACGGGTTAGCCATATTGTCCAACGACGCGATCTTGCATATTTTCAGATACCTTTCTTCAATAAAGCTCCTTATCACATGATACTTCCTGTCTATGTGCTTACTCATTTTCTGATATCTTGGTTTTTTGGTGTTAGCTATTGCCGCACTGTTATCACAGTACAATCTCAATGGCTTATCCATACCAGAAACTACTTCAAGATCCATTAGAAATTTGCGGAGCCACACTGCTTCTTTTGAAGCATCACTAGCTGCCACATATTCGGCTTCCATCGTTGAGTCAGAAGTGCAAGTTTGCTTGACACTCCTCCAAACAACAGAACCACCTCCCAGAGTAAAGACAGAACCTGAAGTCGATTTCTTAGAATCCAAACAGGATTGAAAATCTAAATCTGTATATCCTAGAGGTGTCAAATCCTCCCCAGAATATATCAAAATATAATTTCTAGTTCTCTGAAGATACTTGAATATATGCTTGACCGCTACCCAGTGGTTAGGTCCTGGATTCGATTAATATTGACTTATAATCCCGACCACATGGCAAATGTCCGGTCGAGGGCAAAGCATTGCATACATGATGCTCCCAACTGCCGAAGCATATGGTACTTTTGCCATGTATTCTCTTTCCTCAGATGTCTTGGGACAATCACTG